TGTTAGGGGAGCCCCTTATTTAGCCAGCACTGTTAGGGGAGCCCCTTAATCCACTTTCAGGGCCCCTCGGGCTCAACGTCTGAACTCGCGGGTTGTACATACATGGCCATACCATCAAAAGCGGGTTTTCAGCATTTTCTTCGCTCTGGGAGCTACCCAGAGTCTCTTCTTCGAATCATCACTTGCGAGCACGACACATACTCTGCATACCGCGAAGGTCGGACGACAGTCCTGCAAGTCTTCGACGCATGAAAATCTGGTATCGCCTCATTGCAAAGAAGTCCAGCTATAAAATGCCCCACTCATGGTCAGACTACATAGGCTGCACTTAAACGCGAGCTTCATTGAATCTGATTCATTTTATGGCACTATTAACCCTTAGCAGACCCTTCCAACATCCGACCAGATTTTGACCGACATTCTCTTTAGAGGGTAGATTCGAATGAAGTTTAGCCCCGAGTTTATTTGTGTACCCATTCCAGCCCAAATACCGCGTTTGCTTGACTCAAAACCGCCTGGCGCCGGCGCTAAAATACCTCGAAATCGCCTTTGTTGAAAATTTGTCGCCTCAGCATTTTGGACTTCCAAGCACGAATATCGCGCTAGTTTGGAGTGGAAGCGCCGGGTGGGCGCATGAGCGCTGGAACCAGAACCCGGACGTCGGGCACTTCCGTTATGAACGGATGTGGTGTTCGTGTTCGGAAGGTGAAATTACTTTCTGCGGCCAAGTTTTAGTCAGATCCTATTACTGAAGAAGACCTTCGATCACAATATTCTCTGGATTTCAAAAAAGGGGCAGTAAAGGGTGAATAGTGCCCAAATTATCTGTTACGTGCGCGGTCGCAAAGTAATCGTTACCTGTTATTAATTTCGAAGGTTTGTTTGATCACCATTCAGCTCACTCTGCCGAGATTTTGCTGGTTTTACGCTACAAAGTCACGATTACGCTATTTACAAAACGGGACTAAAAAGGGCACGAAAACTATCATGAAGTGATCTTTTTCAATTTCGTGTCAGGGGTATTCCAGTGTGCAGCTGAGATGGCATGTTCAATAGCGCGTTACGTTGGGAGGAACTACCCTAGTAGCATCGTAGTAGTAGTAGGACTGTAATCGCAACTCTCTTTCTGGTCCCCAAGTTGACCCACTTGTTCTTGCGTACTATATCCAATAGCACGATGCGCTCATAGTCTACTGAACAATTTCAACTATGCAGGAGTAGGGGAACAAGCAAGGAAGAGTCTATTTGCTCCCGAGTTGCACCGGTAAAACCATTCTCACGAGCCGACAGAGTGAATTTATATCCTGGATATTTCGGGTATTGATTTCTTCATGTCGTCCCGTGTTCTCATACCCGTTGTATGTTCTTCATGAATTGCATGTGTGTTAAGATCCTAGGATTCTGTCGACCGTCTCAGTTGAAAAGGTTTGTTGACTCAAGACAATGTGAACCATGCTTTGTCTGGCCCTAAACTCGTAGAACTGGTGCAACAGTCCACAGGAACGTTGATCACATTCTCGTTTTCCGTAATCGTATCGTACTTCACTCTTTTCTTCCTATTCTTTTCTTTCCTCTTTTGGAAGCGACTTTTCCGTGTGCTTTTTGTGTCTCGTTTACACTTTACCGTACCCGTACCGTACCGTATTTATTACTCGTGCTGAACCACCTGATGGATTGTGGCCGAAAATTTTTCACTCGAATTTCTAAGATTCATATTTTTCTATCTTTTTCAATGCTAGACTTTTACCATATGAACAACAAATATGGGAAAAATACAATTAGTCCAAGTTTAATCTCTTGGCTTATTTATTGCCTTTTTTCCAGTGGTAACGACAAAAAAGCCCAGGAAGACGATATCCTGGCCCGCCTTTCAAAACTTCACTACGTTTACCGTCCATTACACATTTTCCTAAATGAGCGAAAGACATTCGGCACTTATTTGCCAGCACGCGTTTTCTGCGCTTCGAAGCGATTTCAAACTTGCTTGCTTCGAGTGCAGCCAAATTTCATTAATGAAATTGATATTAGTGAACGCTTGGTCGCAAGAACACTGGGTGCGGAAGGATTGAACTGAAGAAGTCCGATAAAAGGATTGCTTGTGAGCTCGGGGATCAAAAGGCGAAAGTAAAGTTCGCTGACAGCAGTGTTCACTGAACATAGTCTGACTTTGCTGGTCGAATGAGACAAACGACGACTGGATAAACAGTTCGGCGATAAATATTGACCATAAGTGGGCCGTCGTTATCACTGAAGTCATTCGGGGCGGAACCGGGGCGCTGGTTCTGGCGACCTGTCTTCCATCGATTGTTGCGGCTTTGAGCTGGCCTACAATTGTGGGAAAGAAGCTGACGCCGCGTCAAAACACACGCGCAGGTCACACCACGACTGACGGCAGTGTTAACGGCTCTACGTTGTACATCTTCTTGGACTCACTGCTTGGACCATCCCACGAGATCCTTTGCCATGAACTCGCTCGCTTATTTGCCTTTCTTTTGAAGGGAGTTCGGTATTGGGATAGCACATTATCGCTTTGATCGTCATCTTTTCAGTAGATGACAAATAGGGGAGATTTTATAGAACCCGTCAGATGTTCGAATTCCAACAAAATGGAGTAGCAAGCATCATTTCCGCGGCAAAGCGCATCATTTCGGAGGGGCCCAACGATTTCGCGTTGAACCTGAAGAAGAAACCTGAAGTTTGTCCAGTGACCTGTCAGAATATGTTTCGCCTGACAATGAGACCGTATAAGGGCAATACTAAAGTACTGAAGTAACGACGGATGCCATAATACAACTGCTATGAAACGGGAAAAACCGGTAAATGTTAACAACCGTCTTAAATGTTAACAACCGTCTAAATGTTACGGTTATGAAAAAATTATAGCAAAGTCAGATATGACCCCCAGCCAAGGTACGCCATTGCATTGAGTATAAGTTTGTTAAGTGTGCATGAGGCCATACCTGTAGGGAAAAAATCGTAACACATTACATAATACAAGACTTCCAATATTGATAGGTAGTTTAACAATTTTTTCAAAAAACAGTAATTAACCAGCAAAACCAACTTATCGACCAGTCTCAAGAGAGCTAGACCCACCATACCTTAATAACCTTTTGGAAATACGGTGTCTGAACTGAGCATGTGACAAAGTGGCAGGTATGGCTTTTGTTAACTTTCAAATACGCGCTGCCCGCCCTGAAGTAGATGACTCTTGGCACGTAAGTTTGTCTTGAGCGTTTATGACAAACATGTTCATTATGGAATACATCTTCTAGTGTTTGTGTGAACCATTTGTAAGACATTTTACCGGAACCAGACCCACGCGATCTTATTATTAAGCTTGCGAACTTAGACAATACATTCGAAAAGATTCCTGTCTGGACTCACAGGAAGATGATCGCGTACAGAGCGTTATTGCCTGTTTTGGGGGTCAATTCGCACTTCCTGAGAGTAGACAAGCTAACCAGTTTCTAATAATTAATTTTTGGAGTGGAAGTTGCTTTTGTAACCTCTCAAGTGCGTAAATGTGCTTTTGTACGGGATCAATACCATAGTCGCTTAGGTTCTACTAAGGGTACTTAAGATACGGTTTATAACAACGCAATAATAAATGTTGTGTTTGTAGTTGACAGGCCTTTGAGAAATGCGATACTAATACGTGAGTGACGTCTGTTCATGTACCTTTCTTTTTAATATGCTCCGAAAATGCTAATTATCAATGTAGTAGAACAACCGACAATCCTGTTATGTCTCTCTTCCTTCTCTGAGCATACCAGGAAGTGAAAATGTTAAAAAGAGCAGGTGATAAGACACCACCTTGGGGTACTCCACTTAGCACCTGTTTAACATTGGAGTAGGACTGCTCATTTTGACCTGGAAGGTTCTGCCGAGAAGATATTCCGATATCCACTTCGTGAGAACAGGGTGGAAAGTTTTTTCATGTGAGACTCTAAGATCAAATTCGCAAAGTCAAAATATATAACGTCGCAAGAACACTTATTATCAAGGGCTTCAGTCCAGTCATTCAGACATTCAATCATATTGGTTTCAACAGAGCGACCAGAAACAAATCCATGTTGATGATTGGAGATGATATGATTGAGATGGAGATGACGATTGATATGGTTTTTCAGTACTTTCTCGAAGAGCCTGCAAAACAAGGATGTTATGCTGACAGGATGATCGTTTTTGGGACTCCTTCTTCAAAATGGGTGTAACAAAGGAATGTTTCCACCGAGACGGGACCTCACCTTGGGTTAGCGATTGATTGAAGAGATATGCAAGCGGTCCACAAATAACTGGAGCCGTTTTTTGCACAATTATGAAAGGCACGAAGTCTGGGGTAACGGAGAAAGATGCAGGCCACTTCATGATCAGTTCGTACAATGCAGAAGCGCTGAACCAAGGAAAGTCTTGCATAGGTTCAACATTAGGAAAGACAAAATCAGGGGTTCTCCCATCATCTTCCTGGAAGACGCTTTCGAAGTGTTCAGCTAACAGGTTGGCTTTATCCATGGGAGATGTTGCTATGATATTCCCTTTCCGCAAGCAACCGATACGCTGTATGTCCTGAATTCTTTTACTTAGGTACCTATAGAAACATCTAACATTCCCGGACTCAATAATTTTCTTCTCCAGATAGATATTGTACTTTTTGAG